GTCGCCATCCCTGGTGGCCCGTGGTCCTGCTCCTTGTCCTTGCACAGACGTTCGTTGGAGGAACCTGCTGGGCCTGAGCCCCCTACGCCAGACGCTCGTCCATCCCCAAGGGATATGGGCCTATGAGCTGGCCTAGTGTTCTAACTAGACGTTCGTCTGGCCAAATGGGTTAGTGGGCCGGACCTCGGCTTGGGCCCTTAACCCAACATCACTATATATTTCTCCTTAGATTTTACTCATCCCAGCATGCTAGAATTAAAACATTAGTAGTTTTTTTCTAGATTTCTTCTATACTTCAATAATATTTCCTCTTTCCAGATTCGATTTGTTTTATTAATTATTGATAATTATTGATGTTGTTATGAATTGATGTCTTTTCAAAGTAAGGCCCAAATTGAAATCCCAACTATCAAAACAAAATATTTTATTTTTATTTGATCTTTAATTTTATTTTTGTTTTTTCAAAAATATTACTAAAGCAAAATTTATTTATAAAAAACATGACTAATTTTAGTATGAGTATAGTTTCATAGTCATTTAAGTGTAAAATTTGAGCATAAGTTAGTATGACTAAAGTTACTACTACGGTCACTACACTTATGAAGTCACAATTTTGGAAACAATCTTTATTTTAGTTATTAATTTGTAATTATTTCTTTGTTTTAATTGAATGATATATTAGTGAGGAAAAGATTGAAATGAAATGAAGGTCACAATATAAAATAACTTAGCTTGAAACGGAGTGAGTATTTAAAATGGAGTAGTTATTAACTTTTCCTGTGTCAATAGTTAGTTGCTTTTAACTGCTCCGTATACATTATTGAAGGTATGTGTAACACTCAAATCTAATAAGATAGGCAATAAGTAACTATTTTAGGTCATCATCGTCATCATTGCCTCAGTGCCGCAAAGGCTCCCACACCTTCGGTGGGGTAAGGGGGTCGGATGTACGCAGTTTTACACCTGTACTAAAGCACAGAGAGACTGTTTCCGAATGATCCATAGTGAAAATCGAACAATGTGTATCAACAACAACAACAAAAAACAAGAATAGCTAAAATTCGGTACAAATCTTTAATGTCAACCATGCACACTCAATTTGATGACTTCTGCAGGTTTGATACAAGTTTCGAGGCACCAAAGGCGGCAGAGCCACCGACAAGAGAGAAAAAAGCTACCAGCACCTGGAAACCAATCTCCCAAGGGTAATCCTCAGGCACAAAATACACACAAACAGGACCTAAGACTAGCAATCCTATGCTAAGGCTGAACAGACCCGAAGGTGTTCCCGGATCAGTGGCTGCTGATAGAACTCCCAGGTCTTCTGCTTTAGATAGCAGGCCAAGTCTCTCAATTGTTGTCAACGATAATCCGAACCTCTCGGCTGCCGATAATACCCCTGCTTTCTCTGCCTTAGTTAGTAGCCTCAGCTGCTCCACCCTTGTCAGTAGTTTCACTGGTGCTGCTGCTGCTTTTGAGTTCCTGTCCTTTTGTACTTTCTGCCCTAGTATTGCATTTTAAACGATAAGAACTCGTCCGTTAAATCTTTTTTCGAATTAGTAAACTTATCAATTAGATTTCTTTTTACCAAATATGTAGCACGAAGTATTAGTTTACTGGCTGATCATCAATATAACAAAAATACATATGTTGTCTTTTTGAATGAAAGTGACAATATCATTTTGAGATACTACTATTTTTAACGATTGTTTTCAGATAACTTCACATAGTTCATTCATCTACTCCCACCAATTAAGCCTCAAATGTGCTCTAAATCTCAGATAAAAGTATCTCTTGATTAAAGTAAGGGATTTAAAATCCTCAATCGAAATCATTTTTACTCCTTTATTTAACTAACACAGAATAACCAATCAAAACGAATGGCACCCTTATGGTACAGGAGATGTCTATACATAAGATATCGATTTGATGTAGAAATGAGAAGAATCGTTTTCTTGGATATGTAGCATTGTAGCAAAATTTCGAGATGTGAACTGTGAAGTGTTCAAACTAACTGACAGAGAAAAATATTCAATAGGTTCTACTATTTTCAGTTTTCTTATTAGACACTTATACCTAATAAAAACTCATAATACATGAAAAACCCTGGTTATACATAAAAACATAAAATGCGTGAATGCTAAACAATGGTTTTACCATTTAGTGTAATAATATGATTCTCAGTTCCCCTCTTCAAGACATTTAAAAACAAGTTATGTACAATAAGACGAATCACTAAAATGTATACCCTTTCTCATAGACAAAATGTTTTGTTTTCCTCACAAACTCCTCACATATGTGTGAACCTTGTTTGTGGACTCACAAACTAGCGGCTATCAGTGATATGCCTTTCAGGGAATGGCATACAAATTGATTGTTGCCAATAGTTAAGTGCATCCATGTGGTTTTACCAAAGTTGCTTTAATTTCCTTGTCAATTCATTTGGAAATCCGACTCTCTAAATAATACTAAGTTGGGATAAGGGTCAGATAGGGCCTCGAACTTGAAAAAAATGTCAAATAAGGCCATATTTAGGATGCTCTGTCCGGCCGACGCCATTTGGGGTGGTTCCCGGTGGAATTTTTTGATGAAATTTTTTGAGAATCTTATTCATTAAGTCTAGTTTACTCATATCAAATTTGAACTAAAACTTTAATCGGGAAGACATTCAAATGAATTCTTGAAGATAACTGTACCGTTAAAAGCGCAGTCATCTTCATGAATTCATTTGAATGCCTTCCCGATTGAATTGTTAGTTCAAATTTGATATGAGTAAACTAGACTTAATGAATAAGATTCTCAAAAAATTTCATCAAAAAATTCCACCGGGAACCACCCCAAATGGCATCGGCCGGACAAAGCATCCTAAATATGGCCTTATTTGACATTTTTTTTCAAGTTCGAGGCCCTATCTGACCCTTATCCCTACTAAGTTTATCTCTATTTAAAAAACACAACTGAAGTACACCTGTACCCACCAAAGAAGAAACTGGTTCTACAAATTTAATAGTTACATGATTAAATCTACTAGTGTATAGAGTTACTACATAAATGAATACATGAGTGATTGAGTGAATAGAATTACAGGATTAAAATTTGACATATGCATAAATGACATGAGTCAGAGATCACATTTTTGGGTGAATAGTGTTAAAAATGTATAAAGTACTCCGTATTAGAACAAGATAAAAGAGTACAAAAGATAGAAGAAGTTATAGATTTTACAAGTAATAAAATATTTACCAAAAATGAATACGATGTGCACATAATAAATTCGGATGGAGTAATTGCGTTTAAGAAAACAATTAAGAGTGGAATATATGCTAAGAAGCAATTCGTATGAAAGGCTAAGAAACACCCTGCGCTTAAAAACTCATTGTGCAATATCCAATGATTACGTTTGAGGATGTGATTTCGGTAAACTGACCTTTTTGGAGCCATTAGCAATCGAAGCTGGAAGGATTGGCTTCTGGGTAGCCATGGATTGAATCAGAAGTGGCGAATTTGATGTAGAAAAGCAGGTTCTTAGCATGGCCATGGCCTCCATCATCTATCGCTGCACTAGTTGGTTGGTTCTGCACTTGCCTTATTAATTTTATAAGCCAATACATGGCTGGTAATTTTTTTTTCCTCTTATATCAACAATTTTAAATTTAACTTTATGCATGTCAATTTCAAAATAAGTCAAATGATATAGATTAAAAATCTCTCCCTCTTTCACTAGTGATTTTCAAATTTATAAATTGATTTCTAAATATTGAATGTTGATTCTCTGCTTGATGAATTATTTTATTGTTTGATGCACTAGATGCTCCGCTTTGCAATTCACCGACTCCCCCTTGTCGACAAAACTCAGGCGACCAATGCAAATCAAATTGGAGCTAATATAGTCTCAACTTTCAATGCTAAATTGTAGAGAACACGTCACGCGATGAATATGTTTTATATATTAAATGAAGAATTCTAATGCTCGATGAAGATGTTTGATCACGTAATCTCAATGCTCAATAGTAGAGAAAATGATACTCAATGAAAATGTTTTGATGCTCAATAAATTTTTTGAAATATTTTTACTCAATTGCATAGTTCTAATGCTCATAGTTCTAATTGCTAAACCCGGAAATTATTCGTAAGGTCTCAGGTTATGAAAATTACGGAGCGGAACAAAGTCCATTATATGCGGTCCGAGTCAGGTTTTTTGTAGCCCGAGTTCGTCCGGGTTCGTCCGGGTTCGGGTTGGGCCGGTTAAAGCCCGATTTTGAAATCATCACATTGTCCTTTTATATTTTAAAAACTATTTTCAAATAAAATTAATCAAAAGTACAAATCCCATATAATAACACAAATATTAGTCTTCAAAATCACCAACAATTCAAATCTAAAATAGTTACGAAATTAAATTTATGGATAAAAATGTGACTAAAGTTATTATAAATATATTTCATGGTCATTGCGGTAAATAAATTGAGCATATTTGTAGTCACTAGAACTTACTAAGTCCTTTTTTCATCCACCATGATTATATTCATATATTATAAATTAATTTATTAATTATACTCGAATATTATATTGATTTTATATTATAGCTGATTGTTTCGGGTTTTTATCGTTCCGGGCCGGGTTATAGATTTTAGGGCCCGTTAATGAGCCTGAAATTTCGGGTTCGGTCTGATTTTTTTTATTCGGGCTGGTTAAAAAGAAAAAACCCGGACCGGGAACATAATTCGGACCGAGCCAGGGTCGGTTTTTGGGTTTTGGGCCGGTTTTTCCCACCACCCTACCGACTCACTCTCCCATACGAGAGGTCTCGAGTCCGAAACTCCATGGAAGGAGTTTCAACCCTGTTCACCCATGGCACTCACCAATCCCCAACCCCTTACCCCCGGGGTAAAAAATCAGATTCACATATTGAAATTCATAGGAGATTATGAGTTTATTATAGATCTAATTTAAGAAACTTTATGTAAGAAAAAGAAAGTGAATTAGAAGTACGAAGCAGATATCACGATACTCAATATTAGATTTCTAATGTTCAACATAATAGGCTTGATGTTCAATACAAGTACAACTGTACAACCGGAAGTCGTGAATTTCAACCAAAATTACAAAAATGTCACGGGCTGGACAAATCATACTGTACAACCGGTTATACGATATAGATGCTCATAATTGACGGTCAAAATTAATAAAATTGGACTCGAAAAATCAAACTGTAAACTTAACTGTGGGATAGAGGGAGTATATGAGACTCAAGATAGACTTCTGTCTATATTAGTACATTATTAATTATTAGTATAATACTATAATAATGGAGGGATCTTCACTCAAACGGATCACCCGCAGGTTGAGTTTCTGCACCATGTCCAGAAAAGTCGGGTTCATTGGGTTTGAAAAGTTTGGGCATCCGCAAACCGGGATCAGTAGGATCCACCACTCTCACCTTCTGGCCAGCAGCAGCAGCGCCTTTCCTAGTGTTCGCTGCAAATTTTGAAGCCAAAATTGTAGCACCCAGATGTTGAGCATTGCTGTCTTCAAAAATACTATCACCATCATCATCACCATCCATGTCCATATATTTTGTACAGGCCAAGCTCTCTTGTCTAGCCAGCTCCTCTGCCAGCCTCTTCCTCTTGTAACGCCTCCATGCAGCTTGGATGAAACAAGCTCCCCACGTCCTCCACTGGTGCGAGTAACACCGAAAAGCATGCTGCAGCTTTTTGCTGTGCAGGCGCTTGAACTGGTTCGCCACGAACTTCAGGTCTTCAGCTCGGAGAGCGAATGCCTCGACCTCTGTAAGCGATTTCACCGTTCGTGTTGATGATGGAAGGTTGGAATTCATATTTGGCATTAGTGCCCACGTCAGTAGCTCTTCGCCGCAAAAGTCACCGGGTTTAAGAGTTATGGAGTCCAAGAATCCAGAGCGCCCCCCATTTGTGGTGGAACTCTCGAGTTGCCCTCTGATAATGAAAAGCATCTCATTCACTGGATCGCCTTCCCGGACGATGAATGTGTGCTTTGTGTTTAACGATGAAACTAGGCGCTCACATATAGCATCTAAAAGCTGGTCATCCATTTGTGCGAAAAAAGGGACCTATGTATGTATATGTATAACAAAACATAATAGTGGAATGAGTAATTATGTACCAAGTATACAGTCTAACCATTTCTAGATATAATTAATGGTTGGAGAATTTGACTTTGAACCCACGTTTTGGACTATATTAGATTTTGTATACTACTTTCATAATCATTAATGATATGTATTGCACCCATCAACCCAAAAATTGTGAAGGAATATGGCTAAAAAGCTAAATGATTTTATGTTAAATGGGTGTGCACATGAATGATTCTAATGTCACCAAAAAAATGGGATAAAAAGTCAAAACGGGGTGAGACATACGTACCCGACGAACAAGAGCTAGACAAAGATGTCGTCGTATTTCGCGGCGTATATCCAAAGGTAATGAACGTAATATCTCCTCTTCTTCCACTCCTCTAGTGGCAAGCCATTTATATTGAACAAATCGGCGAACACGTTCCTGCAGTTCTTGGGGTAATTGACGGTGTCGCATCCACTCCTCAGTATCTCTGCGTTTCACCCTCCATTCTTCCAGTCTTGTTGACATTGATTGCAGGTAAGACTTCAATCAAATTGAAACTAATATCATATTTCAAACTCAAAGCATCATTAAAGGCTTCCTTCAATTCATACAACGGAATATTTGACACACAATTAATTAGTACTTCTCAATTCATATTATTTATTTACATACATGATTCATATACGAGTCTCATCAATTAAAGCTAATTTTCACATTTCCAACATTTTCAAGCTTGTATTGAAACTTACACACAATTCTAGTGCATGAATATTCATACAACATAACAACAATAACATCAACATTACCCTAGACCCCAGTGCCGCAACGGCTCCCACCTACGGTGGGATAGGGGGTCGGATGTACACAACCCATGTACTAAAGCAGGGAGAGTGACCTGTGGGCGTAGCTCAAATGGTAATGAGGGAGTGCCACAAGGGTTAGGTCCCGGGTTCGAATCCCGGCAACTGCGATGAGAGGTAACTATGCAAAAAATGCATAGGGCCTCTGCAAGTACCGGGGACAGAGCCCCACTCTCTATCTGTCAGATTGTGATTATAGTCCAATTTACATCCTCCTATCATGCCGTCCGGTCGGTGTTGGGGGACCCTCAGGGATGGGGTGTCATCCTTTTTAAAGGAGGGAGAGAGATGACTCATAATGAAAATCGCATCGAAAATTGCATGGACTGACTGTTGCTTCATAACAAAGAAGCACAAACAGTTTAGTGAGTCATTTTGCTTTATTTCATCATACTCCAAGCCAAAAAATAGTGAGTTTTTGGCTCAATTGGAAATGATGGAGATTGATATGCTAATAATATTTCAATTGAACTCTGCCTATGCTCTGCCATTGGCCATTTCTCAAACTGGTGATCAATTTTCAATTAGAGAAAAGAAAAATAAGAAGTGATTTCTTTTGATGAGATTTCAAGAAAACAAGATCATTCTTTATTAGGAATAATTGGACTCTTGTTTGAGCTTCAATCGTGAGAGCGTATGGTTGTCGATTAAGAGGAGATCGAATGGTACATCAAATGAAGTCATGGGTGTGGATATGATATTGTTTTTATGTTTTACATGTACCATCAATGGAAAAGGATAAATGGAGCTATGGAAGCTAAGGCAATGCGTCTAATTATCATCATCTACTTATGTGCACCTTTCCAATCAGAAGTGCGAAAATAACTAAGCCCATAAGACAGATAATAGAACTAGATAGTGTCTCAACGGGAAAAAGTACCTGCATATTTCCAATCAGAAGTGCGAAAATAACTAAGCCCATAAGACAGATAATAGAACTAAATAGTGTCTCAACAGTGTATGTTGTGGTCTCCATTCCTTGTCCATACGAACTGCAAACTAGAATTTTATAATTTCATTAGTGTATACCTTAATGAAAACTTCGGAAATACATCATTAGCATTATCAACATTTGAGATAAATGTTGTCACATTAGTCCTACTAAAGTACTATATACTCCCTCCGGTTCTTTTTAAACTTCAGTGTTTGACTTCACAGTTATTAAGGAAATACAGTTGACTTTACTGTAGAGTACACTGTTGAGACACTGTTTGGCACTGTTGAGACACTGTTTGGCACTGTTGAGACACTGTTTGACACTGTTTAGCACTGTTTAACACTGTTTTGATGTAGATTTCTTTGCCAAATAAGGAAATAAGGAAGTGTGAAGTTTATTTTGGACCGTCCCGAAAAGGAAAGTGTGAAGTTTATTTAGAACCGGAGGGAGTAGTAATTAAGAGCATTAGCATTAGCTAAAATGTTGATAATGTGGAAAACTGTACGTGTTACTCGGGTAACAAATACCGGATGATGAATAACCATTATGTTTTCACGGGTAATAATAGTGGGGTTACCGTTTTGTACATACCCATTACCTGCCCCATTTTTTATTTTTTATTTTTTATTTTATCACAGTACTTGATTTTATTTTCTCACACTCAAACTCAAATAAGATTAGATTTTCCTCCTGTCCATTGTGTATATGTGAATGTAATCTCCTTTGGAACCCTCCCTAGAATGTTATTAAGAAGAATTTGATTTTGCTTGATAAAAAAAGTGTAAGGGAACACATTGATCATAATAAATAAATCATGCGGGCATAACTGTAAAAGAAAAGAAAAGAAGGTTGGGTATATATACGAACCTGAGGCTCCTCAAACCCCACCAGAGGCAATAAAAGTAGCGCTCAAAGAAGGTGGCAGAGGAAACCTGGTCGTTGTATGCAGCTGCGAACATCCCGAACTGGAAGCCGTTGGGTGTGGTTCGGGCATTGCAATTCTTGAACACCTGAGTGGACGCTGCCCACTCTTCCCGCTTCTCCATTGCCGCAGCATAAGAACAGTCCAGGAATAAGGGGTTGCATTTCTCCTCCTTTTTGCACTCCATCTTCCAGCATGACAACTCTCGCTCTATCGACATCAGATACCATACAGCTCCTAAAACCTAGTTTTTTTCATATGACATTCCTAGCTATAAGCGCAGGCCGGGTGATGATAACAAGCTAGCTAAGATATTATATATCGTACGTACTTACATGACTAGCCAACATATAGAGAAGAAGATTATATGCAGCACCAGACCAAGCAGTCTTTGCCACAACCCCGGTGTTCTTGATGATCTTCCAGTTCAATGGGAAAATGACTAACAGCTTGGGAACATATTGTAGCATAATCACCAGAGTAATGGCATGATTCGCATGAGCAGCCGTAGGGCTTTTCTTCAGCGGCATTATAAACCAAATAATAATCTGCACCCATACATACATGTATGTTAGGTACGTACATGAAAAGTAAACATTTTGAAAAATATATTAACATATGTTAATTACTGGTATTGTTGCACTTTGTTACTATAACTCTTAAATGAAACGGATTTGTGTCATAAATATACATGAATGTTTCAATCGGTAATACGTAGTACTATTCAAACATTCAACCAAAAAATCATACGTGGCAGTCAGAGTTCCATGCGTAGAGTCTATTGTACATTACTTTTATCCACGTCGTCAGTGCACGGCGGACTACACACACGTATTTATGCATATCATTTAGGATTTTTTGGCCGAAAATTTGAATGACATTGCTAATTGAAACAATACCAATGGTTATGGTGTCATTTATGCATTGCACCCGTAATTTAGCATTTCATATTTTATCATCTTCTAATTTGGATTTTGTGACTTTTATAGGACCTCTAGTGTAGTTTCTCGTGATGTAAATTTTAATTATTAAAAATGTTTTAACAATCCTCATGAATGATTTATGTTTGTCGTAAGACAACCTAAAAACCTGCAAATTGCAATTGAATTCGGGGCGGAGGAAGTATTAAGTAGCACATATTATCTACCACTCAATGATCACTCACTTGAGGGAGGGGGAGAGTGGCGGCGAGATCAATGGCGAAGTCGGTTTTAAGGTACCTGATGGCGATGAGGCGGGGATGAAGCACAAGCTCGCCTTTGCCGAAGACGCGGGAGGTGCGAGAGACGAAGGCGGTGCGGAACTTCATGAGGATCTGGAGAACGGAGAAGAAGTCGACGATGACGCGGAAGAAGATGAGGGTGAAGCCGAGGGGGATGTCGACGTACATGCAGGAAGCGGCGGTCATGATCTGAGGGAGGAGGAGGAAGAGGGGGTCGATGAAGAGGCCCACCAGGGAGGTGACGAGGAAGATGTGGTTCCATTTCAGGCACAGCTCCCCGTTGGGGTCCAGAATCTGCTCCCACCACGGCGCATCCCTCTCGTACACCAGCGACCACGCCTTCGACGCGCACCCCTCCACCACCAAATTTCTCCACCGCTCCACCTGCCCCACCGCCGCCTTCATCGTCATTCTCATGTAAGCTAGATTCATTTCGCCGTTTAATCCGTGGAACTAACTTAATTAACGGCAAAATTAAATAAATAATTACGGATCGAGAAGAATCACTCAAAACTATATTCATTTGAAATTTGAATTGACAAGCTAGAGAAGGATACGGAGAACCAGACAATTCACCCACTCCATTGATTTGCTCGCGCGCGCACCCAACACGCACCGGGAATTTTTTTAAAAAAAATTGGGACATTTTTAAGGCATATATCTGCGATTACACTAAATAAACAGTATTATAGCTAAATGTTTTATTTCACATCATTTAAAATACGGATTACCATTTAATATTAAAATATCTAAAATAATCTTAATCTTGTACGTGTAGACATATATTCATATATACACATGTATAATGTAATATTATATATTATTACGTAGAGTGGGTAATATCTTGTAATGTAATGTACTCCGTAATTAATATAACTAGGGGTGTAATGTCTTAAGTCGTTCGCGAGCTACGTGGATCGTTCGGAAATTTTTTTGACTCGAATTCGTTATATTCAAGCTCGACTCAAATTGGGTTCGGCTCAAATGTTTATTTTAGGCTCGTGACTCGCGTGCCTTTGTGTGTGTATGTATACATATTTATATATAAATACTACACACACATATAGAATTTGGATCAAATAAAAAAATCTTTTATTTGATGCACTTTTTGAAAAATGCATTAAATAAGGTCTATTTAAAAGTGTATCAGATAGGGGGAGGGGTTATTGTGCATCAGATTGACAGTTTGTACGACTGAGATTAATTCTTATGTTAGGGGTTTTCGAAAAGTGCATCAAATAAGGTCTATTCGAAAGTGCAGCAGATAGGGGTTATTGTGCATCAGATCAACAGTTTGGATGGCTAAATTAATTCTCATGTTACACGTTAAGATGCCTTCTCATTTGAACTCATTCCTATATATATATAGGAATGCAGTTAATAATACAGGACATTCTCATCATGTTATATACAGAATACGTATTCTAATGTAGCACCGGTTCATTTTAAATACTCATTATGGTGTATGTTATAGTAGTAATAGTTATAAATACTCCGTATAATACATAGTAGTATTCTTATTACTATAATTATAACCATAATTTGTAATAATTATAATCTATAATATTTATTGATTTTTTTAGGGTAATTTATTGATAGTAGAATAAGGAATACAAATGTCAGTAATAAAGAATATTAAGTACAAACATTATATTATTAATTTGTTTGTACGTATAAATGTACTATTAATGATTTGGATAATAGAAATTTAACTTTACTTTGAAGAAAGAATGACTAAAATAATAGCTAGGGATTATAGCTGGACAATAATAGAGCTACTAATCAATACTGACATAAATAAGACCTATAAGTTTTTAAAAGGCCAAAATACCCTTCTGAAGCTCCGCGTCCAGCAGCTCCAGCGAATCACCAGGTGACCTCTGTCTATCCCATCGCCTCTGTCTCTGCAACTTCGCCGGATGCCAAGCCCACCAACATCTTCGAGGCCATCCAGTTGCATCACAATCTTCGCCGTCTGCCAATCGCTTCACCATCGCTTTCCAATCGCCCACCACCATCTCTGACGCCATCCAATCGCCCACCACCATCTCTGACGCCATCCAATCGCATCACAATCTCCGACGCCTGCCAATCTCCTCCTCCTCCTCCTCTTCTTCTTCTTCTCACCAACGCGGTGATGGTCGCTGCTCATTTTCAGATCTCGGTGGTGTTGAGGACGAGATCGGAAGGACGACATTGAAGGGATATCCCAGCGCGGTGATAGAGTCTGAGGGTGACGAGCGGCGCTGGGCTGACCGTGATGGGCTCACACGGTGGTGTGGGACCGGTGGTGTGCGGGGCGGGCGGCAGATGGAGGCGGGGTGTGTTGGTGTGATGGGATTGTGAAGGCGCAGGCCGCGCAGCAGGGGCGGGGAAGGGGGCTGCTGGGTGGTTGGGGTGCGTGGCAGGGGGCTGCTGGTTGGGCAGGTCACTATGGTGGGGCAGGGGGCTGGTTGGGCAGGGGACGGGACTGGATTGGACTGCTAGGGTATCAGCGGGGTTGGGAAATTCAGGGCATTGACGAGGCGGCCGGATGTCACTATTGGTTGGTCACTGGGGTTGGGTTGGTCACCGAGGTCGGGTTGGTCACTCAGATTGGGGTGGTCTGGCGGCGGATGTCACCGTAGTCGGGATGTCACTAGAGCTGAGTCACTAAGTGTTGGTAACTGTGGCAATGGTCGGGTGTAACTGTAACTGGTAGACGATGATCATTGTGGCGGTGGTCACTGCACGGGAATCACTATAAAAATTGATCACCAAGCGGATGTCACTTTGTCAATTGGTCACTGGACAAAAGTCACTGCACATTTGGTCACTGTGATGCGGGTCATTGGTGGGACGTATTAATTTTTTGTCACTGGATAAATTTTGTAACTATGTCATTGGTAACTGTAACATTGGTCACTGTGACGGGACTGTAGCAGGTCAGTGGGTTAGGACTTAGTAAGGGTGTAATAGTCCCTTAAGTATTATTTAGTCTTATTTTTGGAACTTAAAAGAAAAGTCTATTTTTTTTGTCCAAATGCTTTTAATTAGTATTATTTGAGGACAAACCCCTACTTTGAATTGGAGCATGAGTTTGAGTAACTTATATTGAGCTCAAACTTTTAAAAATAATTAGCAAGACTTGACCCGGGCTCGAGTTGAGCTCGGCTAGATCGAGCCCGAATTATTTAACTCGTCCAAGTTCGAACTTGAGCTAGTAATTCTTATCAAACTCAAACTCAAGCATATCCATGTCCGGGTTCAGTTCGGCTCGTTTACACCGCTAATATAACATAACATAACATAATTGGGTCATTAATAATGACTATGATGTTAAAGGTGTAATGTTTTTAATACGAAGTATTTGAGAATTTAATTATCATTTAAGAGCTCTAATAATTCTTTTAAATGAAACCTTCAAAAGAGGGAAGTGAAAACTTGTGAGAGGGAGTAGCGATTAGTTTCTCGGTTGAATTTTAATTTTATTTTTGTTGGTGAATGTAACATTTTAAACACTTGCTTTTGTAGTTTTATGCCATTCTGATTTAACTTTTATGCCACCCCTAAACATGACATATCAAAGATGGAAGTAGATGGAAAAGGATGGAATGATTAACTTGAATAAAAGCAGAATGGAAAGGATTTAGAATACTCAATCAGTCAATCTACAAAAACGATTGACAATTTTTAGCATTGTTTAATACATACAAACAAGTTATCAAATTTTATAGAAAATTCAGGTATTCAGCAACGCTCGAAATTAGTTAGACGCTACTTAGGGAGTGTTTGCAACTGCTTCTGCTTAAAAAAAACATTGTTAGAGATGTAAGGAAAAAATGATTAGTAGGAAAAGTTGATAGTGTTTGAGAAAAAAGTGATTTTGAAAAGTAAAATTTGATAATGTTTGGTAAAATAAGTGCTTTTTGTATAATAGAAAGGAGAAAAACACTTTTCACACGCAAGCCGAGAAAAAGTAAAAATTGGTAGTGTTTGGTAAATAAGTGTTTTTTTAAACCAAAAGCTGAAAAGTGCTTTTTTTAAGTGATTGCAAACACTCCCTTAGTCAGTAGCAAGATAAAGTTAAGGTCAACCTCAACTTGTGAAATAGAAGTTATAGAACAGTTGTGTTCACATGCTTGTTTTTTGTCAAAGAATACTCATTGTTTTGATTTTTTTTAATAGTAGGTTTGATTATATTTGACACTTCTTAAATTGATAAGTTAGCCATTAACTTTCTCTGAAAGAAGCTCTCAAATGTGTTTGATTGGCCTTTCAAAGAGGCATTTTCTTTCTAAGCCATGGATTTGGGGATTTACATGCAAAATAAACCATAAACTTAGATTCAATACTTAATGAAAACAAGTTCTTGCAGAATTAATAATTAACAAGCTAAGTATTCTACTGAAGCAAAATATCCCTAGATTGATTAGTTTCTACTATATATCATGCAGTGCTATTGACGTTCATCTTAACCATTTCTTCAAGCAAGTACTTAGATTCTTCTGCATAGTCAACTGGAGCAACACCTCTTGCTGTAATCCTTTGCCTTTTCTCGTTGTTGTACTCTTGAACCGCCACACTGACTTGGAAAAGGTAAGAAACCCAAGTGGCTTCTTTCAGTTTCTCTAGATAAGCACTCTCTCCATCCTAAACACAGAAAAGGAAGTAAGAACAACACATTAGCTGTGCAAAATTCTATAAATAGCTTCTTAACGGGGCTGTTTTTCTTATGGGTAAGCATACATTCAATGCATGATGGTGCTTTACCTGAGATTTCAGCTTATTTAGCTCATCTGCAGTAGAGCCTAGTATTTTCTCAGCCTGGTCATTGAAAACAGACAGCCAAGCTTCGCCACTTGCATCTGAAACCTTCATAACCATTATATATCTGGAAATTGTACAAGAGTTGAATTAACATTAATAGTTTCATAGCCTTTTCTTTATTCGAACAAAAGATCAAGACTTGTAAAGTCCAAACCTTAGTCTGCACTCCTCCTCATTCTTCTGGCAGCTTTCACACCAGTACCCATTACTAAGG